ATATCCGACACACTGACAACAGAAACTGCTGATCCGAGCATTTGCCACGATTTGATGACGGAAAATAGTGTTTAGGAAAGCTTTCTTTTCGCATTCTCTTGAATGCAGCCTTCCAGCTGTCGGGGTTGCTTATTCTTAGAACTTTTTCAATTCCTAAAATTAGTTGAAATTTAGTAAATAGCTCAGATCCAAAGGTCAGTTAAACAACTCGCCATTTGAAAGGCCATATACGCTTAATTCTTGTCTCAGAAAATATAATAAAAACGTCATTCTTTCTTGTGGTTCGCGAGACTTTTGGCTATTCTAAACCGGTTATATAATTTCAGTCAATCAACCACGGAGGAGCCAGCGAAACCTCGCGTTTTACGCTTTACATGGTCCATGAAGACAACATCGCCCCTGATGCCCGATCAGATAATGCAAAAGATACGCGAAGTACTGGATCAGAACAACTGCGACTATGAGCAGCGAGAGAGGTGAGTAGCCGGACATGGATAAGTAGGATAATTCCATAAATTAATTCAATTTTTTTTAAAACTTTTTATTAGGTTTGTTCTTTGGTGCGTGCATGGCGATCCCAACACTGACTCCCTGGTGCAGTGGGAGATTGAGGTGTGCAAGCTACCGCGCCTCTCCTTGAATGGGGTGCGCTTTAAGCGGATCTCTGGTAAATATGGAGTGATTTTCTCGAAACAAAATAGAGCACTTGCAACACCTTGTTCTCCCCGTGTTTACACAGGTACCAGCATCGGTTTCAAGAACATTGCGTCTCGCATTGCTTTTGATCTACGTCTGTGACTTAACCAAAATAACCATGAGGGGATCGCCGCCGCAGCCCGCGATATTGAGGCCGACACTATCTCCACGGACTACCGTCACACGGCCAGCAATGACGGTAGCAGCAAGCTGTCAGATCTTTCGCTTATGTGCCGATCCCTAACCAGTCAGCATGGCTCTCAGCGGCGCAAAAAGAGCAGGCTGTCCAGCGCGGGAAACGAGGACTCCAAAAAATCTGGATCCTTGCATTCGGCTTTTCAAATGTACTCGCCCTTTAGCTCCAAGGAGAATTTGGAGTCAGGCGATGACATGCAGGCAGCTCGCCTCGGCATAGTGCGTGATCAGGACTCGCTGGGTACTGATGCGCAGCCCAGCGATTCAATTATCATGCCCCTCTGCGGTGAATTAAATACAATAAACGCCATTTTGGAAGAGGAAGCCGAGAGCGTAGAAAATAAAACGAGTGAATCTATTAAAGAGACAACCAAAGGTCCAACGACCACATCGGTGGACAGTGGAAGACATGAAGATGATGTCAGTGGCCAAAAGGGCAGAGGTGATGACAGCAGTGGCAGCGGCAGGGGCGGAAGCAATCGAATAAAAAGGAACCTCAAACACACGGGCAGCCTCATTGTGCGCAAACTAACAGCCTTCAGGCATGGCGGTTCAGACAAAAAGGGTGCGTCTAGGACAAGCACAATATCAAAGGAGCCACAGGTCCCACCCGAACAGCATGGACAGCATCCAGTGGCCAAGGAAGAGGAAAAACCAAACACCAAATCGCATGTGGCAATGCTACGCACCACAACTCTCTAAATATAATAGAACCGGGTCGTAGCATGCGAAATTACTTTAATTGTGGGGGGATATGTAGTCTGTACGTATCTATTGTATGTATGTTTGCTAAATATTTGGGTCAATGCGTACTAAAGGGCCACACAGAATCTCAAGAAAAAAAAATACATGTTAGTGTCCTTCATTGGTATAAACTACATGCTCGCAGAACAATCGAGCAGATGAGCTCTGCTCTGATATATATGTATCTACTTTGAAAATGCATTAGAACCCACATAGATACGCACATATTTACATAGAATACAGTAATTGATAGGAACCTAGGGAAGGCCTGCGGATGATAGGCTCGAATCGACAAAATTAAAGTAAATATAATCATGACAGATCACACAATTCAATAAAAGAATAATAATAAATATTAACAAGAAGAAATCAACGCTCTATAAACTGCATTTATGTGTCGATATCCAGTAAAATTAATTGCTTGGCAAGAAAACGATCAAAGTACACAATATACATACACTGATATCCAAGTTCGGGTTGTTTCATTTTTAAGAAATAATTTAAACAACGTTGATTGACAAAATTTAGGGCAGCATCAGGTATCAATGCTTGGATTGCAGTTCGAAAAACATAAGTTCTTCTTCTACAGCATGAAAAATGCCCAACGGCATCTATTGTAAATGTTAAGACATGCTCGAATACGGTAGTTGGTATAAATTGGTACTTATAACTGAAGATTTGGTTAATTTCATTCAATTTGAACAGTTCATAGAACACAGACGAGAATTGTACGTATATTATTGTTAAGGCTACAAGTTTACTCAACCTATCCGAAACGAAATATGTAAAACTCAGAAGCAATTACGACCGATTGTTAGCTAGTTTCCACTAAGCTCAACTTTACTTGCATAGCCCGAAGAGATAGGTATAGAGGCTCGGGCTCTATGCGATTGTTGAATGTTTCAGAATCAGACTTTTATGTGTTATGGAAAAGTAAATGGGTTTTATTAAAGCAGAACCGATCTCAAGTGAGATGTAGAAAAAGACGACCATTTATCTTAGTTGATTCGACAAGTATGTGGAGGCTCAAAATCAATCTATTGATACCAAAACATAGTTACACTTAAAGGTTGCAGCTACCATGATTGTGAGGCATTTCTAAAACATTTCTAGACCTTCGAGTAAACGCATGCAACGTTTTATATATTTGTTGTTAAACGACAGCTGATTGCAATTTATTAATAAATATTAGAATTAAGCAAGAAAATACATACATGCATACACACACACATAAGCATAAATATACATATAAAGCAAGCAGCTTAATGCTTAATATCCTCACGTAGAAAGCTCCCCTACATGGAAGATATGCATACATAAATCTTTAACAATTGGCAGATATTCAAATATGTTGTCATCAATCAGCGGCCAATGTATTTCGTTGGACTCCGCAGATATCCTTATTGCACAATATTTTAGAATGTATTCTTCTGGTATTTATTTTGTCTACAAGTGGTTGAGTTACGAGTAAAATAAACAGATGTGAAATGATTGAGAACACCATTAAATCAGAAAAATGATAAAGCCGATTATAGAATTTACAAATAATCATGTTGTACGATTATCTGATATACATACATAGATGTTTTAATTAATAAATACAAAATGGCATAACTAAAATTAGCTTTGTTGAGTCTTTCTGTTAAAGTGGTATGTGCGATGTGAGATTTAATAGTTGGATTGAAAAATGCTCAGAGTTCCTCATCAAGGTTGAAGTCTTCTGGTGGAAAATCACCCACAGTCACGGATAACGGGGAGACGAAGCCGCCATAATTTGGAGGACATACAAAGTATACTTTTCCATTGACACTGGAATGGGAAAGACATAAGTTGGCATTTTAGAATTGTGTGCTATGATGAGCAGGTACCTTCCGTTATTCTTTCCCAGTGGTTCATCATACTGTATTCCAATGAAAATACCACTTTTGCCTTCAAGTGGTCCATTGTACTTAATCGTACCGCGACGTCGTGGATTACCCTGCACAGTCACCTGATGAGCATTAAAGAGCAGTGCAGTCAATATATTGTTCCTCGGGAAGGTATATTAAACTCGATTACCTCGCATCGCTTATCAACGACACACAGCTCGGCCCGCTTCTGCACCTCTTCTGCTTGCTGTCGTTTCTTCTCCTCAATCTGCTGCATTTCCTCCTCGTTGTACTTTCCCAGACGATTTTGTTTCAGGTAATGCCGCACTGAGTCGGACCTTTTGTCGTACTGGTCTTTGCTCAGCTCGAATTTCTCAACGGGAGCGTCAAAGCAGAAGCTGGCGAATGTATCGATGACATGGAGGCGAAGACCATCGCAACTGGCATAGTATCCCAGCTGGGCATCGTTGTTATCCAGGGTGCCCAAGCACTTGTCGCCTTTGTACAGTTCCACTTTCATGGTGCCAGCACTCCCGCCAGTCAATATTTCCAGCTTGCTCTGAAGAAAGAAACCAGAATGTGAATATATATTCACCAAAATGTTCAATCATCTGGAAATGTGTCTCCATATGCATAGCGGCTACGTACCTTCAGGGCCGAGATCGTTAAGTCTTTGGCAAGCTTTACCTCAAATGCGACGGCATCATTATGCGAGTTGGATACATTAGCTTTGATATAATCCGATTTACCCAATTGAATTAGATCAGCCATTTCTTAGATCCTTGACAAGGTTTTGCTGGGACGTTGATTAATATCACAAATCACAAGGCTTTTAATTGGAGCTTGAAGCTTATTTGTTGCCTGATTTTACAGCAAACGCGATTTTCAGCTGAATAATTGTCGTTGCCGTTAATGGCAACTACACGGTTACTACACATTTGCTACATAATATGGAAAAGAGAGGTATGGACACCAGGCAACGCGACTAAGAAAAGCCAACACATGCAAGGTAAAATCCACCCCTCTTGCTTAACGTACCTTTCATACCATTCAAGGTATATAGTTCATTCACGCGAGGTAAGGTTCGAACGAACCTTGCAATTTACATTAGCCGTTTTGCCTGTTGTCCATACCTTATACAAATTGACCATTCAAAATTATGAGTCATTTGTTCGGTGCAGGAGAGCTGCAGTCTGACCCTCAGAAATATAACAAAATGCACCGTCTGATTTTCATAATATTGATTGACGTTGATTGATATCGCAAGCTTTTAATGAATCAAATTAGTCATCGGAAAACGTTCTACGGCGTTTTCGAAATACCATACCTTTTTTTCCTCCCATTATGTAGCAAATGTGTAGAACCCGTGTAGTTGCCATGTAACATGTAATAAATTGATGACGACAATATTCAGCTGAAAATCGCGTTCGCTAAAAAAATTCGGGAAATAAATAAGTATCTCCAAGTATAATTAAAAGTCTTGTGATTTGTGATATCAATCAACTTCCCATCAGAGTCTCAGAATCCCTTGTCAAGGATTCAAGAAATTGCAATTGTGGATGAAGTCACACTGGTTGTCCTCATTCGCTGGAAAAATTTATAACAAAAATAAATAAATATAAGCAGACGAAATGAGTTTCATGCAACCGAGTCCCGTTAAGTACGCTTGCTCCTGCGGCATACTAAACCCCATCAACAAGCTGTTCTTCTGCCGCCACTGTCCAAAGTTGAGATGCGGATTCTGCGTGTGCCACGAAATCGAGTCGCACTTCTGCTCCAATTGCCTGGAGAACATCCCTTCGTCGGAGGCGCGACACAAGAAGAATTGCTGTGCCAATTGCTTCGACTGTCCATGCTGCCAGCACACGCTCTCCGCTCGCGCCGCCAACGTTCCAGTGGTGCGTAAGACGGAGGAGATCAAGGACGGAGAAAGTAAGGAGTCACCTTCGGGGGCAGCCACACCCCCAGCTCCAGGCAGCAGTAAGCCGTCGGCCATACCCACAACCAAGAAGATATACTACTTGTCATGTCTGTCATGCCGCTGGACAACGCGCGATGTGGGCATACCAGACCAGGGTGTGGCCTCTGGCACCTGGCCGGACAACGAGTGCCTGTATCAGGCGCGCTTCAATACGCTCGTAGACTACTACCAGTCGATAGTACTGCAGGAGAAGCAGGAAAAGATGGAGTTTCTGCGACGCAAAGCGCCCAAGCAGCACAAATTCCCCAGCCTGACCGATCGCACTGGCCTCACGGTGTCCCTGATTCGTCGCCAGATCGGGTGGCACGATAAAAGCATTCCCAAGACGAAGGCAATTAGCATCACGCCGGCCGAGGTCACTGCAGATGTGGGTGGCCTTCCAGAGGACATCTTTACTGAACCTCTGAATCTTCGCAACATAACAACGATTGCGCAGCGACACGGCCAGCCGGGAGATCAGCCGACTGCTGTCAGCAACCTTTATCCGCAACGACGTTCGCTCTGGATCAAGCGATCTCTGCGTTGCCGCCAGTGCGAGCATAATTTGATAAAGCCGGAGTATCATCCGACATCGATCAAGTACCGCATACAGCTGTTCGCCAGCTACCATGTTCCCGAGGTGCTAATGGTGCGCTGCGAGCAGCCGCTTCAGCCGGGCAAGAGCAATGCCATACTCTTGAAGTTCTCTAATCCGACTATGTACGACATGACCATACGGATTCTGAGTGCACTTCCTCCAGAGGAGGAACTCATTACATCTGAGGCCTTCCAGCAGGCCTGCAAAATTAACGAGGAAGCGGTCACATCGTCTCCACTGGTGCGGGCCATCGGACTTACTTTGTCCCGACAAAATTCGACCCGGGAAGTGAAGCGCGATGTGGAGGATGTGAGCAATGCTGAGATTGTGCCGCTCGAGAGCGAGTTTGTGCTCAGTCAACGCGACGATTCAAAGGAGTTCGACGAGGATGTGCAGCTGCCAACCGAAGAGCCCAAGTTTATCGTCTGGCGCAAGGGCAACAAGGTTCTGATTAGACTGCAGTTCACACCGGCTGCTGATCTACCACCGAACACTGACGTAGTGATGGGTTTCTTCATGCAGTACACGTACGTCAACACAGTGTCCAATGCGTCCGAAAAGAAGGAGCCCACAACAAACGCCCTGCACTCCAGGATATTTATCAATGCGGGCGCCACTGAAAAGGCAGACTGAAATTGCTTAAAATATTTACATATATGGTATATTAATCGAACTTATCTGCACTAACACGCTTTAAGAATGCTGAGCAAATCTGTATTTATTGAACTAATATAATCGTTAGGAGAGCAACTAGTATTACAGTTGGAAAGTTTGAAAATACTGCGCGTGTCTGAATAAACCGCTTGTTCTAATCCTAATTAGACGACACCAGACCCGTCCATTTCTCGCTCTCTTTCCACAGGAATTTCGCAGTTTTGTCGTCTTTGCCAGCAGGGGCCACATCCTTTGGCTTACAGTCACTAAAGTACAGGCCAGAAACGCCATCCAAGTCACGGTCCAATGCTGCATAAATGGAAGTCTGTGCTCCACTCTTGGGAGTCTTCAGGAGCGGCCATATTAGATGCTTCAGGAAGTACCTAAATGAAATTTTGATTAACGGCAGCCTTATTAATTAGTCAAAGTGTCACATACTTCACAAAATTGGTCTGAAAGAAGGCCCAGTTCCTCGCCAGCTCGGTATCCACAACACCAGGATGCAGGGAATTAACAGTGACTCCAGTTCCCTTCAAACGGCTGGCCAGCTCGCGGGTAAAAAGGACGTTGGCCAATTTGCTCTGGCTATAGGCATCGGCCTCACTGTACGACTTTTCGCTATTCAAGTCGTCTACGTTGATGGCCCCACGCGTGTGTGCCAAGCTAGAAACGACGACAATGCGACTAGGGGCCGATTTCTAAAACACTTATATTGGTTACGAATCATCTTTGAGAAATCTACTGGACCCGTCAATACCTTCAGGACGTCCAGCAGCAAATTTGTGAGCAGAAAGTGGCCCATGTGATTCACGCCCAATTGCATTTCAAAGCCATCCTTCGTCAATGCTTTGGGACAGCGCATAACTCCGGCATTGTTGATGAGGACATGGAGCTTATCCTGCTCCTTCTTGAATCTAATGGGGAGGAGACTTATAAGGCATCGTTTTGATTTGTTTTCAAATGAGCTCACCCAGCAACGAATTTCCGAACGGAGTCCAGCGAACTCAAATCTAACACTCTAGAGAAAATGTTCCTATTGTTGGTCTCCTTAACGATTTCCAGACGCGCCTGTTCGCATCTGTTCATATCCCGACATGCCATGTAAACCGTTCCCCCCCGCTTGGCTATCTCCCGCACCGTCTCCTTGCCGATGCCGGTGTTGGCTCCAGTCACAATGAATACCTTGCCCGTCTCATCGGTGTCCTTCCTGAATTGCCCACCTTGCATGTAATCCCTGAAGGTCAAACATTATCAATATAAATCCAGACATATGGTATCAACAAGTGGCATTCCCCACAGTCATAACCAAGTTTCATAATTTCATGCAAACCTCTTGTGGGAAATGATATTTGATCGACTTACTTTAGGAAATAGATAGCCCCGCCGATTAGGGCCGCCCACAGTACACTTGGGCACAACAAACAATCTATGAGACAGCACATTTTGTTTTAATATTGAATTTCTTGTGCTGTTAGCTGTGAAATAATTTTTAGAATGCGAGCAAAGCAGGAGAAACATATGTATATATACTGAGGCATAAAACGCAAACTAACGATGATAATATTACGAATGTGCGAGAACAACGAACACGCTATAAAAACCAAAGCCGAATTTTATATACCCTTAAATTTTGACGACCAATAAGCCTATCGCCATCATCCACCCAACACATCCTCTATAGTTCGTTACTATATTATATAATAGGCTGACCCGGTAATTAATCTGCGAATCTGGGCGTTACAAACACCTGACCTATTTTAATATACTTATCGTCTGAAAGGGTATCAAAAGAAACGATGCGTGTACGCCCAGTGGTGGACCTTTTGAAATCGAGTCGTACAAAGCTGTAGAATTATGTGTGTAGAAGAAGCAATGAATTTCGAAGTACGTGTTGCCATATTGCCATCTCTAGATTTTATTTCACGACAGAACAGCTGTTTATTTATTTGTTTTCAATTATATACCGTTCTTTTTTCCCACAACCTGATGCATCCTATGACAATGGCTTTTTTGGGGTTTCCTAGATTTCCTGGCTCTTATTTTAAGCTGGCATTACTAAGGGCATCCGAAAAAAACCCCCCTTTAAATACAAAATGATCAACTAGTGGCAGGTGACGCTGCCGCCCCTTCAGTTATGATGTGGGTGAGTCACCCGCATAGGCAGAGCCGGATGGCTGTTTGTTTTCACTTTTCTTGCGCCCCAAAACGGCTTTAATGGCATTCCAGTGTAGACAGCGGTAAGTGTAGGACGCAAACGTTCGAAGAGAAAACAAGTAGAAATAATCTATTTCGTGATTACGCAGCACGTACACCCACAAATAGTCAGGCCATCATCAGACAATATGTTCGACTTCAATTTGGAATTTGCGCGTGGCGGTGCCCGCTTCACCAGTGAGCTGTTCCAACTGCTGGCCGCAGGTGGCGTCAAGGAGAACATCGTATTCTCGCCCTTCTCCATCCAGGCCTGCATTGCTCTGGCCTTTGCCGGTGCCCAGGGAGAGACCGCCGATGAGATCGCCAAGGCATTGCATTTCGTGTCCAACTTCCCCCCTGAGGTGGGGCAAACCTTTCAGTTTGTGCTGGAGCAGTACAAGAACAGCAGCCTCCTCAGCGTCGCCAATAAGTTGTACGTGCAACAGGGCAAGCAGCTGAAGCAGTCCTATGCGGCGGCCATCAAGGAGCACTACCACTCCGAGGCGGAGTCCATCAACTTTGCTCTCAGCGATGCAGCTGCTCAGGCCATTAACAGTTGGGTCAATGCCAAGACACAGGGCAAGATAACGGAGCTGGTTAGCGCCGACAGTTTCTCGGACAACACACGCCTTGTCCTCTTGAACGCCCTCCACTTCAAGGGCAGCTGGACCCACAAATTCAACGAGCAAGGCACCGCGGAGGACGATTTCTTTGTGGGCGAAGAGGAGGCCGTTAAAGTCAATTACATGAATCAGAAGGCAAAATTCGGCTACGGCTTCTTTGAGGACTTGGGCTGCACAGCCTTGGATATGCCGTACAAGGACTCCGATTTGTCCATGTTTGTGCTGTTGCCACAGGAACGCTCTGGCCTTAAGGACTTGTCCGAAAAACTAAAGTCAGTGAACCTGGTCGATTTGGCCGACAAACTGGACGTCGAGGAGGTGCAAGTCAAGTTCCCAAAGTTCAAAGTTGACTACTCTCTCGAGCTGGGTGACAAGTTGAAAGAGGTGAGTGCAGACCAAGTAAAGTAACTAAAATAGAATCTGCTTTATGACACGTTGCATTCCATACCACCGCCCCCGATAAATGGAATACTTTTGAAGTATTGTATTTATGGAAGTCTTATCTCGAGAGAATATTTTTAGTAGCTTATCGGCTTAAAAACGTCTCAGATAACCTTCGATATTGTGGTGATCAATACATATTGACGCAGCCTGCGGTTCGTGTCTAAGATCATGTATCACGACTCCATTCCACGGTTATATAATTATTTGTAGGTGCAATCTTATCGATCGCATACCATTTAGTGGGAGATGACCTCATTTATTATTTATTCAACATATGTTTCATACTTCTCTGCACTTTTCAGCTTGGCATCAAGAAAATGTTTACGGAAAGCGCCGAGTTCAACAATTTGCTGGAATCTCCCGAAGGTGTGTTTGTGTCAAAGGTATTGCACAAGGCCACAATTGAAGTCAATGAGGAGGGCACGGAGGCTGCTGCAGCCACTGGAATGATCATGATGACTCGCATGATGACATTCCCATTGCAGTTCCAGGCTGATCGCCCGTTCCTGTACGTCATCTGGAACAAGAAGAACATCCTCTTCGCGGGTGCTTTTGTAAATGCACCAACTTCTTAGAACGTCATCTCTCATTATTAATTTATGTTTTTATATTGAAAGTATTTTTGAAATAAACGATTCGCACAACGACTGTTCAATGTTTTCTGATATACAATTTTAAATCATACATACAATTTGAATTCAACACCAAATTCAAATTCCGTTTATCGCACAAAAATATCCATATTTTCTTATGGAGACCAAGAATGAGTATCGGGATCAGGATTTATATACAGGAAACTAATCAAATGAATGAATACATCTAAAACATATCAATTTGAGATAATTTCTTTATTAATAACATTTTAAAAACAGTTTCGAACAAATTATCATCATATTAAATTCACGAAATAGAGTATATAAAAGTCCATACTCAGGTTGATAAGCAACAAGTCTTCAAATACCTGCAACATTGAAGTGACAAGAATACGACTGTTTTTTTGTTGAACATTTTTTTTAAACCTAGTTTTAGTTCAAATACAAAAAACGAGAGTACTTAAAAGTAGTTAATCTTGTAGAAAATTTATTCATCAACGGGATAAAACTATGTGGGCAGAGCTGAGTGTCCTACTTAGCCAGTAATATTCAACGGAATATCAAAAGTTATCATTAGAAACAATTACTCACCTTCGTTCTATTTATTTGATCTTTTTCGATAAAGCCTTTTTTAGACACAATCTAATAAAATAAGAGTATTTAAAACAAGTCAGTTAAGTAGAAAATTGATTCATTAATTAGTTAAAATTATGTGGGCACGGCTAAATGTTCTATATAGCTAGTAATATTCCACGGAATATCAAAAACGAGGAATATGTATAGTCTAACTTGAATTCGTCAGTATATTTACGGTATATTTTGAAAATGAGACGGTATATTTCGGTATTTATTTGAATCGGGTAGAATCTGTAATAACCGGTTGACAACAATGAGTCCCATTCAATATACACATACCCTGGGGGAAATGGATGTTATAGAATTGTAAATATGTTTGTCATCCCAGGCAAAAACAATTTATTTTCAATATATTTTAATATTATTCAATATTATTTAATATTATTTTCAATATTTCAACGATATTTTAAAGCTTATTGTCTTCTTGCAGAGACCAAGTCAGGATCGAGATCATATACTCATCACTCATCATATACATGAATATGTCTAAAAAATGTCCATTTGAGAAAAGATCTTTATTAGTTAAGTTTTATCTTCATATCAATATTTATACTTTCATATAAAATTAGCAAAATAGGGTATACAAAGGCCTATACTACGGCTTACACGCTATATAGTGACTCTTTTTTTGTTGAACTTTTTCGTTTAAACCTTTTTTTACAATAAATACAATAAAAGCAAGGATTAAAAACTAACCAATCTTGTAGAAAATTGATTCATTAATGGAATAAAACTATGTGGGCATTGCTGAGAAATTTAGTTAGTCAGCATTATTCAATGGAATATTAAAATTGAGCAATATGAACGTTTGTTTTGATTGAGCTATTTCGCTACTTGTTTTTTGTTTGACTTATTTCGCTAAAACCTCTTTTTACGCAAAATGCAATAAAAGCAAGTATTAAAAATACACCAGTCAATTAGAAAATTTATTCATCAATGGGTTAAAATTATGTGGGCACGGCTAAATGTTCTATATAGCTAGTAATATTTGTCGGAATATCAAAAACGAGGAATATGTGCAATAGAACTTTCATTCGTCAGTATATTTACGGTATATTTTGGTATATTTCTGAGGGCCATACTGTATATTTTATCCGAATATCCGCGGTCACACTGATGCCATTATTTTTCGAGTTTCATCCGCAGCCCAAGTGTTTATCAATTTAATTTAAGTGTTAAAATAGTTCTAAAGTGTTTTTTAAAGTTGTGAATGAAAACAGCTTAAGAGGGGCCAGTAGCAAGCGTAGTCCGCGCCGTTAATCTTAATAATTCGCCAGATATAGCTCTCCAATCGATTGGAGGAGTGTTTGTGCTCAATAAAGTGCGTTCGTGTTTGCCTTTTGCAGACGGGGAGCAAGTAAAGTACAAAAATACATCATTGCCCGCTGCGACAGAAGGTATGTTGTGGTTGTAGTTTATCGTTCTCGGCAGCAGAACTCTGGGCGCAGAATGCGAATGCAAATTGTTATGCCATATGATCAGCGGCGTCTGCATTCGATCAGCAGAGGGGGTTCGTTCAGTCTGTCGTTTGTCCGAATCCGATTCCGAATACGATTCGGATTCCGACTTCTAAATTAACAGTTCAATGCACGTTGAAAAGGAAGTGATCCTGCCTGGAACCTGATTTCGAATCGAATTCCAAAATGCAGCTGCATTTTATCCAATTTCTGCAGCTACAGAACTACCACAAAACTAGAAAAGTGCAACAAAGTCGGCAAGATTGCTGCACGTAAATCGATCAATGGGCAAAAAGGCTGGCAGGCAGGCGAGCAGCTACGAATGCTCTTATGTTTAAGAAACGGTGGTTGCTTGGCAGCGCCTCAACCACTGCCGCTACCACCGTCTCCACCCCTAGCCCGACCCCGACCCCGAGCTCGAGTCCTAGCCGTAGCCTGTCACAATTTGATTTAGGCACAGCGCCGCCGTCGTTTTGGTGTCGTGGCTGCCGCTGCATTTGCATGCATGCAG